TGATTCAAATATTCAAAATATTTTTTTATTCTCTTGTTGTAAGTACGCATCTTAATTTATTAACACATCTGTATTGCTCGTTGTGCCTCTATTGTTCTAGTTCAATAAACAGTCTCGCAGATAAAGTTGCCAAATATTCACCAGAGGAATTTGTACCTATCCTTCAACTTGACATTCTCAGGCGCAAAGCCAAAATTGACGCACTATTGCATGATGTACAAAATGTGTTTTCGAAGCCTTCCTTGTTTTTGATGATGGCGAATTACATTTCTTGTATTTATTGCCTAGGCGTGATTTTGATGTTTCCTGTCATTCATGTTCAATTACTGTTTGTCTGTACCATCCATTTTATTTGTGTTTCCTCTGTTCTGTGGTCAGCAGGAACTGTACCAGTTGCACTAAATAAATTGCAGGAAGTATTCAACGAAAAGACTCATTGGCGATTACTGTCTGCCCCTACCGCAGATGAAATTCAGATGATATTAATAAAAAAAGAATTTATTGATAAGACAAGTTTTGCACTGTCTGGATGTGACATTCTGGATTACAAAAAAAGTACTATTCTGGCTTTTGTTGGAACTTTGCTTACCTACTCCTTGCTGACAACCGATGTTATGTTTAAAATTAAATAGTTATCCATATTCGAAGAATATGAGCTCTTGTGTCCAAAAATAATGCAATTTGAGACTACTATTTGTCCGCTCTCCAGATGAACTCCAGATAATCTCAATGTAAATAATTTATTGATAAGACAAATTTTATATTGCCTAGATGAGATGTTGTTGTTTACATAAAAAGTACTATTCTCTCTTTTGTTGGAACTTTGCTTACCTACTCCTTGCTGACAGCACATTTTGTCTTTATAACGTAATAATTATCCATACTCGTAGAATATGAGGTCTTGTGTGAAAAATTTCCATATGTTTTTCAATAATTTCAGGAAATACTGAACCAAAGATATAACTAATGCTTCTAAACAAAGATTAAAATCCCTATATGTGTCAGTGTGGGCGGGGCATGTGGAAAAACAGACTTCATACTTACCTGGATACTTTTTACATTGTTTGCTCATAAACCTTGCTGAATTTTGTCAAGCATTTTTAATACATTTTGTGAAATTCAAAAGCAAACAGTTAAAAGACAATAATCCTCGGCATTTGGGTGTTAGGAGCAGAAAGCAAGGTATTCTCAAAGCCTGATTTCTTGAAAGTGAAATGTGTTCTGTGCAGACATCATGTTAGATATATGTACAGGCATTTATGTTTTTATGAAAGACTCTGTAACTATTAGAAAACATAGAGATGAGATGTAAAGGCCCTTATTGGCTTTATTTTGGTTAAATGTTTTTTTTAAAGCATTCTGTGAAATTCAAAAACAAACATTTAAATATAATAATCACCAACGTTTGGATGTTGTGGGATTAGCATGTAAGCAGGAAGCAAATCAGTCTCAAGTGCAGATTTCTTGAAACTGAAATGTGGTCTGGGCATGCATCATTTTGGATGTATGTACAGGACTCCATGTCTGTATAATATATTCTGTAGCTGCTAGAAAATATAGAGATGAGATCTAAAGCCCATTTCCGCCATTTCTAATGATGCAATTTGGTTTTGATTTCATTTAAATGGTAGATCAATAAAAGTAAGTTACTCTCTTTCTTGAGTTTGGCCTGCAATCTAGTCATTTGGTACTGTATACGGAATAAAAGAAAAGAACTCACGACACTTCTACACAAGTTACGAAAGAAACATTTTCCGGTACTTAGATATGGAATAAAATTCTGTATGCTTTTGCTTTTATGCTTACCCTTTGCAAATACGATTTTCTCGTTGATAAGCTGTCCTGCATCTGAATATTCACACATATATAAGTATGGATATTATATTAATAGCTTTTATGGGCAAATAATGGTTCAAACATTCAAATTATTTTTTGATCATGTTGTTGTAAATACTCATCTTAATTTATTGACTCATTTGTATTGCTCGTTGTGCCTCTACTGTTCTAGTTCAATAAATAATCTCACAGATAAAGTTGTCAAATATTCACCAGAGGAATTTGTACCTTTTCTTCAACTTGACATTCTTAGGCGCAAAACCAAGACTGATGCCCTATTGCATGACATACAAAATATGTTTTCGAAACCTTCATTGATTTTAATTATGGTGAACGACATTTCATATATTTATGGTCTAGGCGTGATTTTGATGTTACCTGGTATTCATATTCAATTATTGTTTTTATTTACCATCCATTTCTTTTGTGTTGCCTCTGTCCTGTGGTCAGCAGGAACTGTACCAGACGCACTAAATAAATTAAAGGAATTATTTCACGAAAAGATCCATTCGAGATTATTGTGTACCCCGGATGTCCATACCCTAGATGAACTCCAGATGATTTTATTGAATAAAGAATTTATTGATAAGACAATGTTTGGATGGGACCTTGTTGTTTACAAAAAGGGTACTATTCTCGCTTTTGTTGGAAATTTGCTCACCTACTCATTGTTGGCAGGAGATTATATGTTTAAAACATAATAATTATCCTTACTCGAAGAATATGTGTTCTTTTGTTCAAAATTAAAGAAAGATTCTTAATTATCGATAGTTTAGGGAAATACTGAAACCAACTAATGCCTCCAAAGAAAGTACCCAAATATCTATGTGCATCAGTGTGAGCGAAGCGAAAAAAAGCTCATACTTACCAGGAAATTTTGTAGATTGTTTACATTTACACATTACTGAATATGGTTATGTTTTTTTGCAACATTATGAGAATTTCAAAAGCAAACAATTAAAAACAATAATCCAATAATCAGCAAGTTTTGGATTTCAGGAGCAGGATGCAACGCAGTCTCAAGAAAGTGCAGATTTCTTGAAACTGAAATGTGGTTTGGGCATACATCATGTTAGATATATGTACACTCCTCCATATCTTTATAAGAGACCTGTAACTGATACAAAATAAAGAAATGAGATCTAAAAGACATTATTGAAGTTTTTAAAAATGCAATTTGTTTTTATTTCAATTTAATGGCTGACGAACAGCATGTATTAGAATTATTGGATGGTTCTTGTATTCAAATGATGGCCTTTAATAAAGGTGAAGATCGTCTGAGAGGCATGACATCCAATGAAAGTAGACTTATGATCATTACAACAGTTGTATATCAGCTGTTTCATGCCATTGATGTGGCCACAAGTAATCAAATTTCAGGGATTATTGTTCCAGAAGACTAAACAAGAAAGATTTTGAAATATCTGTTTGCATTCTGTTGACTTCTGCGCACAGGAGAGAACATTTAGACTGGTTCAGGGTCATCAAATTTGTATCAGAGTTCAGTGGAATAAAATTTAGTAAGTGAATGAGATTCTTTTGCAATGGATGTTTGATGGTCTAGAGTGGCATCATGGTAGGTGGATGCACAAAACTTCATGTTTGTGTCAAAGGTGCCGCGATCGTTGCCAAATATAGCGATAAGGTTTTGTAATCCAAAGTCCACATTCGTAAGGATAGATTGGGTCTAGAGAAAACGAGACAAATCTATCTGTTCTTCAAAATCTAAAACAAAATAGGACTTCTTCTGCATCAGAGGTTTGAAGGTGTAGGCTGGCATCAGGGGTGAACGTACAAATATAGAGATGAAGTTTTGCATTCCTATGTTCCCCTTTCGAAGGATGTACTGGGTCCTGATTTTATCTTATTTGGAGTAAAAGTACGTCAACATAGATCTCATATGTTTAACGAATTTATAAAATACGACCAACCAGATCTCTAAGCTTAAACTTTAAAGATCATGTCTGGGGCACATTGTTATACACTTTGGTTAATTGTATGAAATAATTATTTTTTATAATCTGTTATTCTTTAATTTTAAATGACCTTCACCCAGTTATTGATGCGTTGATAAATATAATAAGCGGAATTAATTATAAAAAATTAATGATTGAGTAATAACAGTTTTTCTTTTTTGTCAAACGGCTGCAATGAGGAATAGCTTTAGAACAGCTGATTTAAATTACGAGCATGGTATACAATACATGATCAACAATAATTTGCCTTTTAATTTTAAAAAAACTCTCCTCAAAACGATGAAAACTGCTTCAGTTTGATATTGTTCAGTTAACACGCAAATTTTAAATCAATATATTTTGCATCAATTAATAACACATTATTATAAAAATATTATCTGAATATAAATATTTTATTTTTGCACGAAATCCGTTTCATATCATGTAGTTCAATGTGTAACATATTAATAATTCAAAGATGATAATTAAGTGAGCGTCAATCCATATATAAATGCCCCGTTACTGTTTTTAATTAAAAAATTACGATTCAATAAACAGTTTTATTCAATTTCATTTTCCGCATTCAACTGTATTCAGTAAGAAGAAATGCGATTTCGGAAAAATACATTATATAACTAAAGAAACTAAAAAGTTTTTTTATATACCTTAACTTTTATTGATAGACCATATTTCATTTGATTCATGTTATGTCCAAATATTAATTACTGTTTATTAGCACTATAATTTTTTTTCAAATGGAAATCTAAGGAATTTAATTATAGAGAATAAAGTATACAAAACATCACACTATTGAATTAATTATCCGGAGAACTTCTCTGTATTGATTTAATTCAAAATTCGAACCTATGAGAAGAGTTATTATTTTGTAAGTAATACAGACAAATATCCAAATATCGTTGTTGTTGTTGTTTCTTATCCCACTTGGCTGGCCAAGCCCACGAGCCCATACGTACTCATGATTGAAGGGGAAGGAAGCAGCTTCTGTTGTGATGGAGCACCCGTAGGTAGAAGCCTGACTTTGGCTCCGTGACGCTCTTACAGTCATGGGAGACCGGGACCTACGGCTTAAAGTGGATTCCGAACCACTACAAACATCCATGGCACCGCCGGGATTCGAACCCGAAACCTGTGGCACCGAGCGCCACAGCGCTAGACACTCTCGGTCATTCAGGTCCCAAATTTGCCGCCAACGGCACGCGGTGTTCCCAGGTGGTCACCCACCCAAGTACTGATGCTTCACTTCGGTGATCTAACGAGAACCGGTATATTCAGCATGGTACGGCCGTTGGCGTTTGAAACGTAATATTAAATGACATAATAGGCACCCAGAACATCATTAACATGATTATCATTAATGCATCCAAAATATGAGTAATCATGAAATTTATGTTAAAATATCAAATTTTTATGCATGTATCATTAAAAAAAACTGATTTTTTTCTTTTAATTTCTATTCAAACTAATTATAATACAATAAATTTTAGTGCAAGTTATTGTTCATTTTAAGACTCAACTGAAAGACATTTATTGATTATTCTAGCACATTACGCATATGTTTCTTAAATTTATTTCTAAAAATTTTCACTATTAGGAAGAAAATGAACGAAATGAATTAAAAAGTCATTGAAAATTACCAGTACATACCCTTTTCAGCTAACTTCTAATATTTAGAATCCAGGGTTGAATCAGAAGATATATATTGATTGATCTGAATTTTTGTGCATATGTCTTTAAAATAATTCAACAACTTTTCCTCTCTAATTGGACAAGAATATTGAGAAAAACAATTATGCCCACGCCCTAATAAACGCTTTTTTGAAGCAATGGCAACCTTTTGTCCTAATATATCTAATTTTTCATAACTGGAAATGTTATCGTAATCAGTAGTTTCAAGGGGAAAAAAAATTAATTATCATAAATTTCGTGAAATGACAGTGCATATTACAATCAAAATTCCATTTTATTTTTTAACAAAACAGTACAGAAAGAGTGAAAAATAATTAAGTATTATATTCCTTTAATCGCTCAAGCTAAAAAAAGGAATATTTTATTCACTTTTATGTTAAAAAAATGTTTACTTTATATATTTCTTTTTTACAATTTCCAATGTAAATATGTGTCCAATATATAAATACTAAATATACCAAATAGAAGCATTAAGTTTACTTTCCAGGATATACAATGAAAGCTAATATTAGATGGTCAGACATTTTATTAAAGAACTTTTTATTTTCCGATATACAAAAATAACCTACGAAAATTAATGTTTAATATATCTGTTAGGAAAATATTTAATTTATACATTTTATTTATTCAATGAATTGATTCAAACTACCAATTAATTTTAAGAGCATAATTTTTAATACGAGTATTTAATTTAATTGGACGCAAATTGAAACCAAAACACTTTAAAATAAAATATCAAATGGTTAGAATTTTTAATTCTCTAAAACCTACAAAAATATTCAACAAACAGAGTTACTACAAGAGAGTACTACTAAGAGAGCAACTACATTAAAGCTACAACTATATTTCTCATTTAATCACTTCGATTATATTAGAATAATAACTTTTACTTTCCTTTCAAGATATGATTACAGATATATTTATTTTTAATTTTTCTCCATTGTTACTTTTAAACATAAATCTAAATCACGTCAATGCAAATAATTGCCCCCCATTCATCAGTTGCAAGTTTAAAAGCAAACCAATCAGGTCCAACCATTGTATGAGTAATTATTTTCTATTATACATTCAGATAAAAAGTCACTCAAAAAATTTAAGAATCGATCCAAAAAATGATTTATAAATGCATTTTGTGTATCAGATTATTTAACATTCACGACACTTGGTATTCATAAGTTGAATTTCATGTTGATGGAAAAGTCCATTCACTGTGTGAAGTGTTCTATCATTCTTAACGTAAAGAACTGTTTTGGAAAGGTTCATTTGGATTTATAATCAGAACTTACATAAAAAGAGATGGCAACTGTAAATAATATAAGCAATAGTATTCGGCCACTCAATCAAGTTGTAATCGCAGTAAATCATCATTTTTCACCGTCACATTCAGCTATACATTCCACACATTATATATTGCCGAAATGTCTCCTTAGATATCTTGCCTGGGTTGGGTTTCTCGAAGAATCCGATAGAGATTTCAAAAGTCGTTTGATAGGGTTTATCTTCTACTGGCTACTGGTTTTTATGTCTCTGGAAAGAGTGGCCTTGCACTACTTGAAGCATTCATCAATAGAATCCTGCATTTGGTCTGCAATGTAGCCATGTGGCACTATATGAGGCATAATCGAACACAACTTACGATTCTTCTAGACAAGTTACGAAAGACACATTTTCCGGCACTCAATATTCTTGTCAAAAATTTTTTTTTTAACATTCATAAAAGGACAGACAGAATTAAAAGACAAATTCATAAAGGACAGACAAATTATCTATATTTTGCAGCAAACAAATAGCTAAACAATTATTTATATTTATAATTCTGTTCCAAAATATATAAATATCTATCTAATATTGCATAAATTACAAGAAAACATGTTGAAACATAATTTAAACTACTCAAAAATACACATTTGAATAATCTTTTAAATAATTGCTGCATAAAGTTTCTTTTTATACTCTTAACATCAATAATAATCAAATTTAGGCCATGTGAAATAAAGTATAGAGCTTAAGATCCTGCACAAGAATAGCAGTATAATCAACATCTGCCTATTAAATTACATATTAAAAATTAATAGAAACATAAAAGTCATTATATGCTCTAAATACTTTGAAATTTAATGATTGCAAACTTATAAGATAAGACCAAAGAAGATACAACCAAATCGCAAAATAGGGGTCGTTTGGATTTGGCGACATATTTGTGACGCCAAATGTTCGATATGTCACCTAATGTGATAATCCATGTTCATTGTACTGTTCGAAATGCAATAGCAAACCATTACTTGGCGCATTTTGGCGAAAATTTTCTTGAAACCAAAACCCAACCACTCCTACTCGATATTACACAACCATTTGGTTTACTACAAATGTTTCGGTACTTTTACAATTCAGCAGAAACTTTGCAAGCTACTGTTGCATCATGCAGTCATATGGTGTGATAAAAATGTTTCGGTACTTCCCATCAGCTGGATCCGTATTTCGCCAAATGGGAAAGCTACTAAATCATAACTGATCTCAAAGTCAAACTATTGTTAATCACAAAAGCAAGCGCGACGAGAAATCCAAAATTTCTATACATTAAAATTTATATAATATCATAAATGACATGAAAAAGAGTAGTAATTATCAACAACACTATCAGAAAAAAATAAGATTAATCCAAAAAAGAGAATGCCAAATAAAAATCAAATTAATATATAAGGTAAATAATATAAAAAATAATAAAAAGCAAGCAAAAAATTAAAATTCTTTAAAGCTGAAAATATTTTCAATTTTGAGAATAAACAACGCTGCTTAAATGAATATAACTGCTAAAGAATTATTATGAAGCCATTTCGAACATGGCGTAAGCAATCAACTATTGTCCATACACAATCCATACACAATAGGAATAGTCAATCCACTGCTTAGCAAATGAAAGTGGGACTTGCTTCATTCAGGACTTATATTTAATATCCATAGTGATTACTGAGTATGTAAGCAACGTTCCTACAAAAGTCAGAATTGAGCTTCTTCTGTAAACAATAACATCCCATCCAGTTAATGCAAACTCTGGTTTCTCAAACAATTCCCTCTTCAGCTTTCGTCCTTCCGAAGTACGAACAAGTAGCAGTCGCGAATGGGCCTTCTTGTAGAAGCATCGGTTCAACTTATTCAAAGCCACTGGAACGCTGCCAGCGGACCAAAATACGGCTGTCACGCAGATGAAGTGGACGATACTATTAAAAAACGCTTCAAATACCATTTGACGATGATCCGAGGGCACAATCAGAATGATTCCCAAATGAAAAACACATGTTACAAAGTTCAGCATAATCAGAAATAAAGACGGCTTGGAAAATATATTTTCTAAATCTTCCAAAATATCGTCGACCTTCGATTTGCGCTTAAGAATGTCAAATTGCACACATGGTCCAAATTCCTGAGGCGAAATGTTTTCAATTTCATTTGTGAGATTATTTATGAATTTAGAACACCGGAGGCTCAAGGAACAATACAGAAGTGTTAATAAACTGGGCAACATGAGGTCTGCAAGAAAAACAATGCAATTAATGAGGATGATCTCTAACGCAAAATATTTGATAATTTCTTCCATAGTGTAATGCCACAAAAAAATTGGTTTTATATAGACTCGTGCAATCATTCGTACAATGGGCATACATAATATAACAAATATAGAAAAGTTTATTGTTAATTTATACAATGGCAAATGATTTGCCTGCATCTTCCATAGAAGAGCCGTGAGCGATTTCCTCTTATGTCGCATACAATACCAGATTGCTTGATTACAGACCAAACTCGTGATAGACGTTAGTATTTTTTCGAAAGCATGTCTTTCTGTGATAAACATGAAAATTAGAAATGCAGACGGAACCAACTGAAGAACATAAAAGAGAATCCAAATCAATTTGCTTTTGCAATTTCTATCAGATTCTTCGACGAATCCAGCCCACCGTAGAAACACAAGGAATAATCTGGGCAATTTATACTTGAAATACTGTAAATCTGAAGTCCTGTTTGAAAAACCGTCGGAGGGTCGTAAAGTCGACATCTTTCCCCGTCAGACTTTCTCTCTCTTTCTGTCTTTTGAAGAATTATAAACTGGTTTTATAAGCTTTTAATTATATTTTGAGGGGATAATTTTTAATGTTATTTTTGTCTTTATAATCATTCTAATGTAGAACGTTTATATGAAAAAATATGTTTATTGTGAATAGGAAAACAAATTCTCCTAGCACGCAAAGCTGAATAATTATTGTTCTGTTAGAAATAAAGAGCTTTTTTGCAGAAAAATCTTCTTTTGACTTTTGTTGGCTTAATACAAATGCAAAAAGAAAACAAATATAATAACAAAGCAACATAATAGTACATTTTTTAAAATACGGGAACATCTTCATTTATGTTTTACTCTTTTCTTAATTTTTATTACGATATTAAATTAGTAACTGCGCTTTGAATTGTAAAATAATAATGAGTTTAAAAAGTTTTTCTTAACTAAACATGAAATATATACATAATCAGAAATAAATCTATGAAATAAATGCTAAAAACATCACGAAGTCTTGTAAAGTTTATTTAATGACTACTTTTCAAAAATATTG